AAGAGTAGTAGGAATTAGGAAACTACTCAAACTAGGAAGTAGGAACTACCAAACTAGTAGATCTCTAGGTCGGTTCGGGTCGGGTTGGTTTCGGTTTTCACGCAAGAAAATCGAAACCGACCTGATATATCGGTTTTTGTATGTGCCCAACCCGAAACCGACTGATACGGATGAAAACCTGGCCAACTCGGGTTGGGTCGGTCCGGATTGGTCGGTTTAGGCATTCTTATGAACAGCCCTAGTGTCAGCAGATCGTTAACCAATTCAACGGTTTTTTGCTAGGGGCCGAGTTTAGGGTAAAATGAAACCAGTTGCCTAGACAATTCCCAAGCTGAACAATCCGACCATCTGAATCAACGATGGTTCGAAAATACTTTTTAAAACAAATAAAAGATTATAATTTACAATTTTTGAATTTTTCCAATTTTTTGGGAAAAATCATAAATCTAACAAGTTTGGTCCGCCAGTATAATGTCAGCCGTCTAAACTGTTAGAGCACCTCTAAATTGTCAAAAGAAAAGGGAAAAAGACTTAAAGCCTTCATCACTCTTAATTGTGAAACTCTCACTTCATTGAAGCAAGCTATCTAGGGCTTCATTCAAGTCTAATTGATTTCCAAAAGACATCGTCATCTTGAACTGCACTTCACCTAAAAATAAATAATGTTGTACCTTCTACTTAATTATAGACAAGACAAGAGTCTTGATTCTTCAATTTCTAGGTTTCAATGCCTACCCATTGGGTTAATGGAGGAAGCTCCCAAGTTATTCAATGAAAGCCCATTGGACTTTTAAAACTAGAGAGAAGTAAATCTCTGCAAACTATTTCTGGAAAACTCATGAATTATGAAATGAATTGGCACCACTTGGGGTTGTTTTCCTTTATTTTGCATATTATTTGCATTTATTGACTTGTGAGAAATATTCTTGGGTTTTCTTATTAAAATTAAAATTAAGTAATACTCATAAAATTAAAAAAAAAATACAGCACAAAACACCATATGAGATTGTCGGATCAGTTATCACGACTGGGGTTTAATGGGTTTTATAATTTTATTAAACAACCAAGTATTGCTATTGCTACTGAAGTCCTGGGGAGCTCTAATAAGAGGATCAGAAGGCAAGTTTTGGAATGATTCTGGGATTACGCTGCAATGGGTAAATTATTGACCCAAAATGCTAGAAAGTCTAAGTCCGTTTTAAAGAATTAGGGGATGTTTCAGTATTTATATGAAATATAATGGGAGGTTTAAGTCTTTTACCCAAAAGAAAATTTGGATGATTATTATGTAACAGTTCATTGATGTATAGTTAGCAATCAAAAACTTATATAAACTTTTTAGTGCCAGTCATGACCACCCCATAGGTCCATTAATGCTCAAAAGAACGAGAATCATTTCACCTTTGCCACATGCCATTCATTTGTCATACCATATGATACACTATGTATCGGCTGTATCGTATTAATATTTTGAAGGGAAAATCTATGATGCGGAAAATATATGGTATTGAAAGAATTTTGACCAATCAAAGTTCATCTATAAATTATGATAAATAACACCTTATTCTCTATCACGTTTATGATTCTAGTCTATTGGTTTGTTTGTTTTCTTGGATATCATATCTTTTTTATATTATAGTTGAACCCTATTTTGAATGGTGAATTTATTAGAATTTTCTTAGGTGTATCTTAATTCTACCACTGTATTCAGAATGCAACATGCACCAATATCCCCGTGCAAAAGGACAGATGTCTCCCTTAAGAGAACTTTGAAATTGAGCATGAGAGGCCAACTCCTTTCTAATGACTTGGAGATGTATACGATAAAGGGAGAATGACGGTTCAGCCAAGGGTCAGAATTTTTAGGCCCAAAGTACAGTTGGATAGGTGCCAACTCGGAATGGATGCCAATTCACAAGCGGGCAATGGGGTATAGAGTGGGGTTTTTGATATTTTGAATATTTATAGATCTGTAGTGGAATTCAAAAATATGCATTGAAACTATCCGTACTTTTCCATATGATGAATCATTTAGGTTGGATCTGTTTCAGCGAGAAAGTTGGGTGACTAAAAAAGTGGATAATATGTGGTATGGCTATAACCCCATTTCATGCTTGAACAAGTTGTAGGCTATAACCACATCTAATCCGATTACTAAACCTCCAATATGTCAGATTCAGAACCAGTTCAGACTTGCTTAAAATGATAAAAATATTAAGAAATATTTAAAAAAAAACTAATTACTTATACATGTATAATAAATGTATATAAATATAAAATATTAAATTTGTATCCAATCTGATTATTAATCTGATACAAATTTTAACATCCAAATTCAGGATAATCAAATTGTCTCACTTAAAAAAAAAAAGTGTTACGAATTTTTATAACCAAGTGATTGTTTCACAAATGTTCCATTTCACCAGGTAGCCACACAAGGAGATAAAAGAAACCAGAAACGCTATTTAATCACATTTGGAAAGCCGTTATTTGGAAAAATGTTACTGCAATAATCGTCTTAGGTAGGATTCATTAGAGGGGATTCTGGAATCATTAAAATTAAATGGAGTTTCCTGAATCACCTTGGTAATCTGAAAATGTTATAAGAATCAAGTTAAAGAACTTTAAATACCCAATAGGGTTGCAACTTGCAACTTAGAAGGGAATTTTGAATAGGCGCACGTCATGCTGTAAATTCATCAAGTCAGATACCCAACTTTGAATGGCGGTGGGATTTGATCCCAGGTCTCTACTCCAACGAGTCAGAAAACCTATCAACTTGTTGATCATTTTTTTTTTTTGAAAATTAGATGGCAGGCAAATGCGGTTTTACGGTGCTTCCTGCCGTGTATTTAGAACATCTTCCATACTTGATTTTGTCATTCATAAGAAAAGCTGCAATGCTTCATGCTTGATAAGAGGCACATTCTATGAGTATGAGGAGCAAATCTGATTTTCAAAGGGGGGCTAGCATTCCTGATTATTGAGAAAAAGTATATCCATGAAGACATGAAAATTGAATCATTTTCTCCTGCCAACAAAAAATGTTCCAACACCCTACCAACATGGTCAAAGACCGTGCATCTCATACGTGGCAGGTCTCACTTTGATGGTGAGTTCCATTCTCATGGTGAGATGTGCAGTGTTGATAGGGTGTTGAAAGGTGTTTTGTTGGTAGAGGTTCCAATTCTAAGCAAATGGGAAGATGATTCTAACAAAGAGAGTTCTACGTACGAAAGGTGGTTGAAAGAATTAACAGTGTATGTTGAATAAGCAAATCACTCCTCGGAGACAACAGACGTATCATAGGGGCTAGAGGCTAAACTTTGGTCATCATATCACGAGGAATTGCCCTCTTAAGTCTTAATAAAAAACCCAAAATTTTCTTCCTGCATTTATTACACTAAGCAATCAGCGAGTGACAGATGTACTTGGTCTCACAAGTACAGTACATGTAAAGGTATAACACTGACACTTTGTCACAGATTGTTTGCTTAGTACAGCAAATGCAGAAGATCCCAACTCTACTCACGAAAACTCTTATTTTATTGAATGGTCACCCGAGCACAAGAGTAGGATGCAAACGGATTGATATCCGAATTCGATTCGATAGGATATATCATATATTCGAATTCAATTCAAACAATCGTAAAAGGTACCTTAAGAAACATATTCGTGTGCTATTACCTCTTTCCTCTTCAACAAAGTTGCTCTCAACCATTAAGCATCGATCAATTTTTCTTCCGGGAAAAAAAAAAGACGATAAGGGTTTTCTTCCTCTAATATCCTTTCTTAGATATGGCCGATGAATAAAACGTCTCTGCTTTCTAGCTTCTCTTCATTGGAATGGTGGAACATGGCGATGAATATGAAAGTCTCTCTTCGTTGGGAATCAGAAGAAACATCAAAAACGAAAAAAAAAAAAATGGACAGTCCTATTCTAGGTAGGGAGTAGGTAGAAAGCTAGGGGACAGGGAGCTAGAGTTTCTCTTGTCTTGTCACCAAAAGGTTCAAAAAAATCAATTTCATGCCTGTATCTCTATGAAATGCATATATGATCGAATCGGATTTTTTCCTATCAAATCAGGAATATATCCAAATTCAATCCGATAAGCAAATTAATGCAAATGGATCATATTTCCTGATCCAATAATACATCTCTGAAACCGACGTAATCGAATCGGATTTGAATTTGAATCAGATAAAAATCCGATCCACTTGCACCCCTACACTGCTGAGGTCTGAGTGAGCAGTGAGCCAAGCGGTTCATTCAAGATATACATGGGAACCATTTTGGAAGGCAGCATGCTTGCACTACATTATTGACTAAAACAGTGCAACCATAAACAGGGATTTTTATGTAAAAATGGAGGGTTTGACAGTGTCGTCTTGTCAAGGACCCCCAGTGCTAGCTTCCACCTTATTGGCCATGGTCGATTGCTCATATTGGACCGGGTCAGACATCGGTTCAATATAGAGAGTAAACAGGTGGAAATGTGAAATTGACAACTCCATAAAACGTCACGTCCGCCTAAGGATTTCTCGCGAACCGCAATAGAACGGAAAAGAAATCAAGCATATAACATATGTATGGAGGTAATCGAGATGCAGACTAGTTGGTCAATATTATAGCCTATATAGGCAACCGGGGATTAAACCCAGCTTAATGATGTAGAAAATGACTTTGATTTGTTTTATGTTAACTTGATAGGATGTCCAGGGAAAAGCTATCCCTAGATTTGTCTAGTCCATTATCCCTCTACAATACCAAAAATGGATCCCTCTAGTCCATTATTCTTCTAATAAATCTTACAAAATGTGATAACTGCATTCTAGAAATATCCATCAACCAATATCCATGACGACAAGCAATTCAATCATCTTATTGGCCGCAGGTGGTGTGTGACTCAAAAACAAGAATTACAGCTATCAAAATACGAACAGGAATTACAAGTTCAGTACAAATCAACATGGAAAAGTAGCAAGCAGGGAATACCGACTGTAGTGCAAAAATACCTGATTCAATAAACATAGATGTATCATGGTACATTATCTTCAAGAGTTAGCTAAATTTGTAATTATCACTACTGCTAGTCGGGATTAAAGGATAATTAAAACATAGACCGAGGAAATGGCATCTGAGAAAAGTTGAAACTTTAAAAAGCATATTCAGTACCGTTACTTGTTGAGACCTCCATGTTCCAAAAAAATGGCTCTCTGTAGCTATCTTCCATCGTAAGTACAACACTGATTGTCATGACTGACAGGAGTTAAGATTCCAAAATAACTCACAAAGAATAAGATGATTGATCTACTCTTGGGATTTATAGCCACGATTGTCCTTCTTTCACATCCCAGGTAAGAAAGTAAATAAGCTACAAGTTTGAAGACCTCCCATGTACATGTAACATAGCAGACCTAGAAAGCCATTCGACCAGCAAGCCTGCTTTCAGATATTCTTCTGTCTATGGCTGCATCAACTGAGTTCATCTGGAAGAAAATAGAAAAGACAACACTGAAAATCAGAAAGGGACTGCAACCACAAACCAACCAATGAATCACATATTAATGCTGGCTTCTACACAAAAGATACTAAACTTGTGACAGAAGCTGACCTGGGCCAAGTCTGAATTCACTGTATGATCATAAAAAAGATAACAAGAAATGCTCTAGATAGGAAAATGCCTGTTGGCAATATTCTTGTTCCTCCCCAAACCACCATATATTGTAATCGTAACACAGGGAGAATGAATATGAACCAACAAATTCAAATTCCATGAAAGCAAAATACATACACTATACTTTTCGCGTAGGGCCGAAGCTAGGTTGGAGAACCCTCGTGTAGATCGCAGCACACTTGTCAGATATGTAAATACTAGGTACCAGAAAAGATAATGTGCATACCTACTTGAATCTTTTGATGGCCACAAAATCGGTGGAATTGCTTGGAAACCGCAGAGAGTGGCAGTTAAAAATAGCACCATGGCCCCTCAAACAAACATGTTTGGAACTAAGAGTAATATACGATTAAGGCTCATGGAATCTTCACAAATTGTGTTCTTTTTAACAGGGGAAAAAGTCCAGGGATTCATACAAGATACTCTTAACATATGAAAAAATGCACAAGCAATTAATCTGAAAGCATCAAAAGGTAAAAGCCTACCAATCCATGGGACATGCAGGGATAGTTGCATGTCATTTTGAATGAATGAGAAAGAGATATAGTTACAACTTACCTGGCTAGTTTCATCATGCACCTGATACTTCGGTAAGGACATCCTTCTTTCCTCCTGCACATAATGCAAAACATTACATCAACAGGAAATTGAGAACTATGTTCAAATTTAAGTAATAAAAATAAAGAAAGATATGACTAGAACAGTACAGCCATCTTACCATGGACATGGCCTCATCGTCCCAAACTAAATAGACCTCATTGGTGGCTGGCTGGCTAGCAGGAACTTTATTAGCAATTACAGGAGGGGGACCTATTGAAGGACCACCAGTATTTGGACCTGAGGCATATGTATGTGAATTGGCATATGAACCACCTGCAGCAAAGAAACAGAGAGCAATATATCAAAGCCACAGCTTGAAGTTTCTGAGAGACCAAATCTGATGCCTAGTAACTCAGGATACCAAATTTAAAAGTGTAACCTTACAAAAGCATTACTTTGAGAAAAAGAAATCATCTCTAATAGCCACATATTGTTGTTTGCAAGATAAAAAGAGAGTTCAGAATCTTGATTGAATAAAAAGGGGAATAAACCAAAGCAAACCCGTGATTGAACCAAAATAAATTATTTAATTATTAAACAAATAATTACATAATTTCTAAACAATAAGATAATTGTACTTCTACACAAACATACTAGAATCAATGAATAGCAATTCCTAAAGTATTTCCTATATTAATGGAATACATGTGCTCTAATCCGTGATGCCCTTACCTCAAATATGACACAAGTTACATGGTGTCATTTTATGCAAACAAGTGAAGGTGAGTACCAAAATGTACAGATTGTAGCTGATTTCATGTAGAAAAGCTCAATTTAAAGTATGTTAAATTGATGGTTTCAGAGGAATTTGGATTTTGTCCTCACAAAATCCATCATGGGAATTTGGATTTTGTCCTCACACCATCCTCAACAGCACTTTAAGCCGTGCATTGGGAACTTCTCCATACTTGTATGTTTCTATTCATAGGGAGATATTCCCAATGCACAGCTGTAAAGGCTGTGAGGATGATGTGAGGATGGATTTTGTGTGGACAAAATCAGCTCTCGTTTCAGAGTATAGCAGGCAGCAGCTAAGAGTTAAAAAATGTGGATCACAAGAACCCAGGTAGCACTGGAAGTAAAGGGCAAGGATCAGGGAAAACGCAATGGCTGAATAATAGGGCTAATAGAATAATCAGAAACGGACAAGTAACAATCAAGGTTTGTGTATTGGAAGAGAAGCACAATCAACACAAGTGGCAGCACCAACATATAATGAGGAAAATGAAATTTCCAACATGGGGTACCCTATGTAAATTGATCGAGTAACAGTTTAGCAGACACATTTGGCCCAGCAAAGAGCAACCAGGGATCATTTGTTTTGGGCTTAAATGTAATATTAAGTCACAATAGGGATGCACGGCACTTTTTAAATATGGCAAACCAGACTGTAGTGCTGGGCACCAGCTCTTTATAGTTTGTACAGACTTCTCTTTCATAATCTTAAGAAAGTTATCATGTATCCATCAGGAAGCTGCAGCTACCTTAGGGATCCTCTCTCTTTGTACATTAGATTCTTTTATAGTTAATAATATAAAGACAAGAATAAAAAAAATGAAAAAGGAGATGTTTTTTAAGTTCTCTTCCTATCAGTGTTGTAGTTGTTACTGGTAGAGTCACCACAAACAAGAAGTACATCAAGTAGTCAAAGGTTACACTCTTTATTTGAAAAAAAAAACAAAAACAAATGCGATAATTCCCTGTCCTTCCTATCCTACCTGACCTAAATTTTTTATGTTTGCAATACAAAGACTGAATGTTTCATGTCACTCTTGTATTGCTTGTTTACAATCTATTTTAACTTATTTATGGGATAGCATCAATATCTTAAATCTAGAACATATTAATTTCTGCTGCCTAGTCAGCACCTAGGCATGAACTAATCACTGGTATCAACTGTCACCTTCACATCACTGTTTTGATAATTAAATGCTAGACGGCATTAAATGACCTTAAGACACTTGTAAGCATCATACATGGGCATCCAAGCTAAAGCACAATGATTCAAAATAACTTCCAATGAGACAGAATTAGCTTATATTTGTTTTTAATGAATAATACATAACTACCTTATATTAAAGCATAGCATGGCAGGATGATCAGCAGCTTACCAGAGACCCATTTTGTCTCCATTAAAGCTAAAATAACTTTACTCAGACATAACATTAACAGTAACAATAAAAATAACAATGACAATGACAATAATAATAACAACAACAACAATAATAATAATAATAATAAAGTTACCACCAAGAAACCCCAAAAACACTTAAACAATACTCATCAGACACCATATGCCTTCAGTTTCTTTTTTATCTCTTGGAGTAAGTAATGAAGCAAAGGCATTCAAAATCAAAATGAATAAAACCATTTTGGCATAAAAAAATCAGCACAAACAAAAAGGAAACAAAATCAAAAGCCTTGGAATATACAAAGAAGATTCCATGATCACAATCACATCAAAAGCCTACAACACATGGAACTTTGAAACTACCGTCAAAATTCATAATTCATGAGCTTTTTTTATGCAAGTGTAATAGATTTGTTAATAGATATTATGTAGGAAGAAATCAAACCTTGAGCAGTCGTTCCATGGTAACTACTAGCCACGGAAGTGTTAACACTGGAATATGAGTCAACTGAGTTTTTGAGGTCTGCAGGAGAGCTTGATGGAATGGTTGCTGTAAGTGCAGGTGCAGGAAATGGTGAACTTTGACTTGAAGTATTAGAATTAACACCAACAGGAAACAAAGGTTGAGATACAGGAACCAGTGGTGTAGATGTGGGTAATCCAGGTGGAGTGATCGGAAATGATGGTTGAAGTGGAGAAGTAGTGGGTAACAAAGGTTTCACATTCTGTACAGGAAACAGAGGTTGCTGTGCCAATCCCATAGGTGCAGCAGGAGGTACTGAAACTGCAGGATGTTGAGGGAACCAAGGTTGTGGACGAGGAGGAACTGGCCAACCTGAGGGTGGCGCTGCTAATGCAGAATAACTGCAGGCAAACATAAAAAGAATCAGTAAGAAAAGATTTACATGTGCTATCATTTCATGGCATAGAGCAGTGACATACACATGAATGATCAAATAAATATTTATTAATTATAGAAAGAACATGCCCTAGGAGCAAGAGCAAAGAAAGATAATCATAAATAAGGAAACTTCAAAGACAGAACAAGAGTAAGGATAGTAACATTCAAAACTTTCCATTACAAGTGCATGGATAAATATCACATGGTCTTAAGAAATGTTTTGAACTGCTTATAGTTCAACCCATAAAAAAACACTAGATCAACTTGCTCTAAATGGTTCTAAACCCAGATCAAGTTTCTGATTCATGGCTCAAAATTAAAATCAATTGAAGATACTAACTATATTAAAAAAAGGATAACATTGGTAAACTGTCACTAAAAAATTTTAAAAAAAAAGCATGTAATGTATAGAAAACATTGCCAACAAAAAGTTTATAATGCAGATAAATGAAATTGCAAAAATCAAAAGAAAAAATAAAGATATTCAAAAATACTAAGAAAAACCCATCTGCTTCATATAGAAAAACAGCAAAATCACCAAGGACTAGTTTTCCCCCAAAGATTCAGGTTGTTAGCAATCCCAGTTTGTGGCAAGCTCTGAAAGGTTTGGAGGTGTGTATAGGGCAGCAACAATTTGGACAATTTGGGAAGAAGAAAGAAATGAAAGATTATTCACGGAAAAGAGCAGGAGTTTAGAAGACATTGCTTAAGGAATGAAGTAAAAGACTGCACGCTGGGTAAAAAGCTTGGAAACTTTCGAATTGATGATGGTAGATGATATTCAAGGAGCCTGGTTTGAAGTAGCAAATTCAGCAGCTGTGAAAGATACAATAATTATGGATTGGAAGCCCCCTCAGTTTAACAGATTAAAACTGAACTTTGATGGAAGCTCAATAGGAAATCCAGGGTTGTCAGGAATTGGAGGTGTGTTTAGGGATGCTACAGGTAAAGTGGTGACTGTGTTATCCGGGCCAAATGGAGTAGGAGACACTGTGAGAGCAGAACTATTAGCCTTACACCAAGGCCTGAAGCTAGCAAAGCAACCTGATTTTAAGAACCTAAAGATTGAGAGTGACTCAAAACTGGTAACCTCTTGGATGAATGACAACAGCCCAGGTGGCAAAAGAAAAGAAAATTTTTAAGAAAAGGCCAAATTGGTGTTTGTCTCCTAAGTGGTGCGTCTTGTGTAAGGTGAACGTTGAGAGTTCTTTCCATCTTCTAATTTTATGTCCCTTTGCTTGTTGTATTTGGGATTGGTTCTGCTCTCTTTTTGGGTGCAGATGGAGCCCTCCTGGCAGCTTGGAAGGTCTCTTTAGTCCATCGTTTCTGAGGAGCACAAAGAGAAGAGGTAGAATCCTATGGAAGTGTGCAAGGGCAGTGGTGGTGTGGTCAGTTTGGGAAGAAAAGGAACCTAAGAATCTTTGAAGAGAGAGAAAGAAATAAGGAGGCACTAGTGGAGATTGTTACAGTAGGAGCTGCACATTGGGTGAAAACTCTAAAAGTATTCTCAGACTTCTCAATGGATGACTTCTTCCGGAACTGGAGGTCAATTGCCCTTTCCTCTTATAGGAAACCCCCAAGCACGGTTTCAAATGTCGCAAAATGTCGCTAATGTCGCCCGACATATGTCGATGTCGAGGCTCACTGACATAAAAATGGATGGTAATATAAAATTACAAAAATTACATTATTTCAGTCGGCATTTCCTATATTTCGGAAATGTCAACCAAACTGGTCCAAATAACCAAAAAAGAAACCTATTATGTCGACAGGATGTCGATTATGTTGAGATGTCAATAATGTCAACGGGATGTCAACTAATGTACATTAATAATATAAAATATTAGTATATTATATTAWTATAATACAGTATATTAATATAAATTATTTCATTAATAATTTCTCTTTAATATTTCAAATAAAATATTTATAGAAAAGAATAACAAAATATAAAAACAAACGAATAAATTAATTACTTTATAATATAAAACATACAATATTTTTCAAGTAATAAAATATTAACTAGTTAGTATTCTTTTAAATATTTATTAAATTTTATAATAAATAATATTGTACATTTAATATAAAAAATCAGAATAAATTTATTAAATTTTATACTAAATCATAATTTATTATAAGTTTAGTATTAAAAATCATAATAAATTCATTAAGTTTTATAAGAAATCAGAATTTATCATAATCTTAATACTACAAAAAGGAG